TTTTTTTTTTTTTTTTTTTGAATTTATATACAGCAATTCTTGATGTTGCCTTCAAATGGAAAACGAGACGCTTGATGGACTCAACTCATCGTAAAAAGGATTTGCTCAAGATAATCGAGGCGGTTATGTGGACCATTGTTCTTCCTATTTATTACTCGACTTCTAGAAGAAAATATACGTGTTATTCTACGCAAAATGAGAGTTGGATTAAGGAATGGTGCTATTCGTCTTACATGGTGGCTGTTGCATTTTACTTGATTCGAAATGCCGTAAATATGGTCCTATTTTTCGTGCCGGCAGTTGGAAAATATATCGAGACTTCTAATTCTCGATTATGTACAATTTTGTCTTGGTGGGCTCAGGTAAGGTGTCTTTTTTCTTAATTTTCTGTATGAAAGATGTCTAATTCGATTGACTCAAGTGACTTTTTTTGCAAATTCCTCATAATTTTGTAGCCCAGATTGTATGTTGGAAGAGGAATGCAAGAGAGCCAATTATCTGTTATGAAGTAATTCGAAAATTTCCAAGTTTATCCTTCTGTTTTAGATTTTTGATATATTTTTTTTGTCATTTTTCTCTTACACGTGTGTTTTTCTACGGGTATCGATTCAGGTATACATTGTTTTGGATGCTGTTATTGATGAGCAAATTTGCATTCAGCTATACTTTTGAGGTGAATCGTCAAAGAAAATCGATTCTTATATGAATAATCAAAGAAAATTCGACTTCGTAAAGTCACATTCTGTTATTATGGCACGAATAGTTTAAGGAAAAAGGTCGTATATATTATGGCATTTTGCAGATAAAACCACTTATATCACCAACAAGACAGATAATGGCGATCGGGGTGAAAAACTATGACTGGCATGAGCTTTTTCCTAAAGGTAGCTCGCGCGTAAAAAAAAAATATATATATATATATAGATTTGTAAATTTTGCAATTTAGTTTACGAATTACCATTAGACATGAATTTTCCATTTGTTTAGTGAAGAGTAATGCCGGAGCCATTGCAGCTATCTGGTCTCCTATAATACTCGTAAGTCTTCAACATTTTTCGATCATTACTCGATAAATTATATTCACTGTTAAATGTGCTTAAGATGATACTGATGATGCAGTTTCAACTCCCTTCATGTTAATAATAATAATACAGATATATTTCATGGATACACAAATATGGTATTCTGTTTACTGCTCGGTTTTCGGTGGAGTTTACGGAATTCTGCACCATCTCGGTGAAGTAAGCTACAATTTTAACTCTCAATTTCTTATATGAAATACAATATACTAATATTTGGATTCTTTCGAATTAAAAAAAAAAAGATTCGTACGCAAGGAATGTTGAAGAGTAAATTCGACACTTTGCCCTCAGCATTTACCGACTGCCTTATTCCACCGGAACCAAAAGATAAAGAAGGAATCACAATGTGGCTTTGTAATCCCGAATGTCTAAAGGTTCGCATATTTTTTAGATTAAAAAAAATATGTCATTCGTGCTTTCGGTGAATTTAACCCATGCGTTCTTACATTTTTGGCCGGTCTTTTTCTTTTTTTTCAGGATTTAGAGAACAAGAAAGGTGGAGTTCTCAAATTTGCCATAATGTGGAACCAAATTATCAGTAGCTTTCGTGACGAGGACCTGATAAGCAATAGGTTAATTCTTCTTGTACATTTTTGTATAGTAACCATAAGAGCTCTCATTATCTTTCAAACTTTACGAATAGCACCCTCGATTTTATTTTTATTATGTTTTTTTTGGCGTAACGCGATAGAACCTTTGCAGGGAAATGGATTTGATGAAAATGCCGGTCTCTTCTGAATTAATTTCTAATCGTGTCCGTTGGCCGGTTTTTCTCTTAGCAAACAAGGTGCTTTTGGGGTTTTTTTTTCATTCTCCACTTAAAAGTTACACTGAATATTTCTGAAAAAATTATCACAGAAAATGGCCTGATATTATTTTCTTGTTCAACAGTTATCAACAGCTCTTACCATTGCTAGAGATCATCATTTGGGAAAACACGAGAATCTCTTGAAAAGGATCCGAAAGGACCGATACATGCAAATGGTCGTAACCGAATGTTATGAATCACTCAAGTACATATTGGATATCCTTGTAGTGGGTGACTTGGAGAGAAGGTTCGAGCGGGAATTTTTTTACTATGAAAAATTGATTACTCTTTGCGAAAAGGACCTTTTTGTAATTAGACTTAAACTCAAGGGCGCATTTCGGAACTTTAAGCAATTTTCAAAAGTTAGTTCGGCTTATTCTCTATTCACTAACTAATTAGTATTGCTAAACATATGTTCTGTTCTCCTGATTGCTCTGCCTTTTATCAGGATTGTGTCCGGTGTTTTTGACGAAATCGAGGAAAGCATAGTAAAATCGTCACTCATAACCGACTTACGCATGGAAAAATTACCGGATTTGCATGCTAAATGCACCGACTTAATCACACTACTCGTAAATTTTTTTTACCTTTAATAAAAACTGTTTATATATCTAAGTAAAGCTATAAACATTCTCCGTTATTTCGCGTCTTTTACTGAAAACGATACGTTTTATCTAAGGTTGAGGGTGTCGAGCACTGTCATTATAAAGTCGTGAAGACGCTTCAAGACATATTTGAGCTCGTCACGAATGATTTGTTCAAAAATGGTTCGAGGTTGTTGTACTATAATATCATTTCATTTTATTTTGTTTTTTTTTTTCCTTCAGTCATTAATTTTTTTTTACCTTTATGCATTAGAACATTGAACGAGCTTCACGATTACCTTCAACAAGAGGGAACAACGAGCGAATATTTCAGCCATCTTAATCCCGAATTATTTGCTTCGAAGCACTCCATTCACTTCCCTTTGCCGGATCGCGGCACCTTGATGGAGAAGGTAGAATTAACTAAGTTCGAACCATATACTCTAATATAGATGAAATTGAAAAGTCTGTGACTGACTGTGTTTTTCGGAGAGGACAGATTAAACGTTTTCATTTGCTGCTTACGGTCAAAGATAGAGCAATATACATACCCTCGAATATAGAAGCTCGAAGGAGAATTTCATTTTTCGCTACTTCACTCTTCATGAATATGCCCAAGGCTCCGAAAGTGCGCAACATGCTTTCGTTCAGGTGCTTTTTCTTGTCGTGCATTTTTTGTTCATTTTTTCGCGTCTTTCGCTTCGGAGAAGAGACAAACAAATACTTTTAGCGCGAAAACGACACATCACTTTCTTCAATAAAACTTCCATTGCAACTAATTAATTAATGAGTCCATTAAAATATGTGCTTGATAAATGCAGTGTCTTAACTCCACACTACATGGAAGAAGTCAAATTCTCGAAGCAAGAGCTTCACTCGAGCAAGCAAGGGGTCTCGATTTGCTTCTACATGCAGAAGATTTTTCCAGGTATAGTTACGAAACTACATTTTTCCGAAAATGATAATAAAAAGCCTACATGTATATGATTCAACGTACTCTCATTTTTCAATGTTGTCAGACGAGTGGGAAAATTTTATAGAACGCCTCGGAAGTGAAAATTTAGACGACACAAACGAGGATAGTAGTACTAATGAGGAAGATTTACGAGATTGGGCTTCTTTCAGAGGGCAGACTCTAAGCCGAACAGGTAAAATTTTGAGGAAAAAAGTGCGAAAGGAAAACGAATTAGTTTCAAACCGAACTTCTTATGACTCGACTTTGTTTTTTCCTTTTTCTTTTTTTTTGGTTTGGTTGCAACAGTTAGAGGAATGATGTATTACCGAAAAGCGTTGAAACTGCAAGCTTTTCTCGACATGGCCGAAGATGATGGTTTGCTTCTTTTAACTTAATCAATCCATTGAGTCCTTAGAAAAAAAATAAAAAATAAAAAAAAGAAATCAACTAGACTAAGAAAACATTTTCTTCGCGTTATAGATATCCTTCAAAACTGTGATGCCATTGATCGAGCAAACGACACTTTATCGGCACAACTCGATGCCTTAGTCGACATGAAGTTTACACATGTCGTCTCGTGTCAAATATACGGGTCGCAAAAAACCTCGGGGGACCCACAAGCACAAGACATTCTTGAGTTGATGATAAGGTTAGGTGACTATATATATATATTTCTCGAATTTGTTTGGGTTCTATAGTTTCGATAATTTTCGTTTGATTAAAGTATGAAATTGTTTGAGCTCTTAGGTATCCTTCATTGCGCGTTGCTTATGTCGAGGAGAAAGAGGTCGTGGCTGATAGAGTGGCCGAGAGGGCACCGAAAGTTTATTCGTCTATTTTAGTTAAAGCTGTGAATGGTTTTGATCAGGTAATGAATAAAGAGAGGAGAGAAAATTTACAAAATGGATTACCATTTTTTTTTCTTGTTCAAAAAAACACTGTTCCACTCTGTTCTGATTCACTTCCATTTTGTAGGAAATCTACCGTATAAAGCTTCCGGGACAACCGAACATTGGAGAAGGAAAACCCGAGAATCAAAATCATTCGATAATCTTTACGCGTGGTGAAGCGCTTCAAGCTATTGATATGAACCAAGTACATATAATATATTCAAATGTTTTTCTCCATTTCCTTAGTCTCTTTCGATATTTTTCTTCAAAAAAACATATTGTGACTCGATCTTCTTGCAGGACAACTATCTCGAGGAAGCTCTCAAGATGAGAAACCTTTTGCAAGAATTTTCCCGAGCTCAAAGAAGAGCCCCACCTACTATTCTCGGCATGCGTGAGAACATATTTACGGGAAGGTTAGAACTTAGAAGCTCGAATTCAAAATTTGCAAAAAGTCGCGGCCTTTTTTGTTAAAACTATAATAATCGAACTTTTTTTGCACGAACGATTAGTGTTTCTTCTCTGGCTTGGTTCATGTCTTATCAAGAGACGAGCTTTGTGACGATCGGGCAAAGGCTTCTCGCTAATCCACTAAGGTAAGCTAATTACTAACAAGTAACAATGTGTTTGTTTCAATAGTTATTATCGCTCGCGAGATCACGATTTGCACGTGTCAAACGACTATTCGTAATACAAAAAAATCCACACGTAAATAGTTATTTTTCGGGTTTATAATTGAACGCAGGGTAAGATTCCATTACGGACATCCAGATGTATTCGACAGAATATTTCACTTGACGAGAGGCGGCATAAGCAAAGCATCAAAGACTATAAATTTAAGCGAAGATGTTTTTGCGGGATTTAACACTACACTAAGAAGGGGATACGTAACGTATCACGAGTACATGCAAGTCGGAAAAGGCCGGGACGTTGGCCTGAACCAGATCTCGAAATTCGAAGCCAAAGTAGCAAATGGAAATAGCGAACAAACTCTCAGCCGCGACATTTACCGGCTCGGCCGGCGGTTCGACTTCTTCAGGATGCTTTCGCTTTACTTCACAACCATTGGCTTCTACTTTAATAGTCTGGTGAGCCCGTTTTTAGACTTTGCCTTAACAACTTAACAACTTTTTTTTTTCTTTTTTCTTGAAAGATTACCCAAGTACATGGAACTGACAATTTGCCTCCTCTATTAAAAACGACAACAAAAAAGTTTGCTTCCTCTATTAAGAATGACTCACACAAAAAATACATAACTTTTTTGTCCCTTTGGAATTGTTCTTTTGAATTTCGTTTTGGAATAAAGTTACAAAAAAGTCTTTTTTCACAATGAAAAGATCCCCTTCGAATTTGCAAAAATGTTGCAATTTCGTTCCTTATATACGCTCGGGGATCTTTTTGTAACTTTTTTGCAAACATAAGGAACGAAAATCAAAACAGCAATTCGAAGGACACGAAAAAGTTAGGATAGTGAACTAAAATTACAATTTTCTCAAACAGTTTTTCTTGACAGATTACCGCACAAAGTACACATAAAACTTGTTTTTCTTCATAGATTACCTCCCAACAAATAAAGTACACCAAACTGACAATATTTCTCCTCAATTTGCCTCTACAGATATCTGTAATCGGCGTGTACGTTTTCCTCTACGGACAGTTGTACCTCGTCCTTAGTGGCCTACACCGTGCTCTCCTCCTCGAGGCCAAGGTCAAAAACGTAAAATCGCTCGAGACGGCCTTGGCCTCGCAGTCCTTCATCCAGCTCGGCCTCCTCACGGGCCTCCCTATGGTGATCGAGATTGGCCTCGAGCGCGGCTTCCTCAACGCCCTCAAAGACTTCGTCCTCATGCAGCTCCAGCTGGCGGCCGTCTTCTTCACATTCTCCTACGGCACCAAGGCACATTACTACGGCCGAACCATTCTCCACGGCGGGGCAAAGTACCGGCCCACGGGCCGAAAAGTTGTCATCTTCCACTCGAGCTTCTCGGAAAACTACCGGCTCTACTCCCGAAGCCATTTCGTGAAGGGGTTCGAGCTCTTGATTTTGCTCATCGTGTATGACTTGTTTAGACGTTCTTACCAGAGCAGCATGGCATACTTGTTGATTACGTACGCCATCTGGTTCATGTCGATGACGTGGCTTTTCGGGCCCTTCTTGTTCAACCCGTCGGGCTTCGACTGGGGGAAGATTGTGGACGATTGGAAGGACTGGAACAAGTGGGTCAAGCAGCAAGGGGGTATCGGGATCCCGCCCGACAAGAGCTGGCAGTCGTGGTGGGTTGAGGAGCAGGGGCATTTGCGTCATTGTGGCATCACGTCTCGGCTGATCGAGCTGCTTCTTTCGCTGAGGTTCTTTCTGTACCAATACGGGTTGGTTTATCATCTTGATATATCGAGACAGAACAAGAACTTCATTGTTTACGTGCTGTCGTGGGTCGTTATAGTCGCGATTTTCCTCCTTCTCAAGGTAAATTTTCACGTTTACGCGATAAATTTCAGTTCGTGTTCCTCATAGTAGTTGATAAAGGAGAAGCTTTATATAGTGTATATGAATACAAAAAATTAGAAGCATGCTACAAAATTAAAATCTCTTCCACTTTCGAAGTGAATGAATACCGATTTCATCTGTGTCTATATGTATATGCAGATAGTGAACGTGGGAAGACAATATCTAAGCGCGACTCATCACTTGGCCTTTCGATTATTCAAAGCTTCCCTTTTTCTAGGCGTTTTAGCCACGATTGTAACGCTATCACTCATTTGTCACCTTTCCCTAAGGGATCTCATCGTATGTTGCCTTGCATTTCTTCCGACCGGTTGGGGATTGATATTGGTTAGTCCGAATAAATCTCTTCCGAAAAAGGCTCCTATATCAACATTCTACAAATTCTCTTCCTTAACGCTCGTTTTTTTTTT